TAAGATGATCATCCCTTTCTTTTTTCTCAGTTCCATCCAAATAACTTCCCTGGACGTATTCCCAAGAATATCCTTCCTAAGTACAGCCATAATGTTATCCTAATCAAAAACTCCCAATCCTCTCTTGCCCCCAATTTCTGTCCTCCTTATAGCATCTGTACCCTGGAATATTAAGCTGCCAGTCCTGCCCCATATCTGAGCCACGTCTCTGTAATTGCTATGATATCCCAGTCCCATGTTCCCAACCATGCCCTGAGTTCATTGGCCTTACCTGTTAGGCCTGTTGCATTTAAATAAATGCAGTTTAATTTATCAGCCCTAGCTCATTCTCTGCTTTGTTCCTGCCTGCCCTGACTGTTTTACTTGTTCTTTTTCCCAACTGTACTAGTCTCAGACTGAACTCTTTTCTCACTGTCTCCCTGGGTCCCACCCCCACCTTACTAGTTTAAGTCCTCCCGAGCAGCTCGAACAAATCTCCCTGCCAGCATATTCGTCCCATTCCTGTTCCGGTGCAATCCGTCCTTCTCATACAGGTCACTTCTACGCCAGAAGAGATTCCAATGATCCACAAATGTGAAACCTTCACCCCTGCAGCAGCTCCTCAGCCACGCATTCATCTGCTCCATCCTTCTATTCCTACCCTCACTGGCTTGTGGCACTGGGAGTAATCCTCGAGGACCTCCTTTTTAAATTCCTGCCTAACTTCCTAAATTCTGTCCTCAAAATCTCATCCTTATCTCTTCCTATGTCATTAGTTCCAATGTGTACAACAACCTCCTGCTGGTCCCTCTCCCCTTTGAGAATATTCTGCACCCTCTCTGAGGTATCTTTGATCCTGACACCAGGGAGGCAACATGCCATCCTGATGTCTCGGTATTGGCCACAGAATCGTCTGTCTGTGCCTCTGATGAGAGATTCTCTGATCACAATCGATTGTTTGGAACCTGATGTACATCTCGTTACATTAGAGCCAGTCTAGGTATCAGAAACGTGGCTGTCAGTGATACATTCCCCTGAGACTCCATCACCCCCTACATTTTCCAAAACAGCACACTTGTTTGAGCCACAGGAGACTCCTGCACTACCTGCCTCCCCCTCCAACCTTTCCTGCAGATAACGCATCTACCTGACTGTATCTCTAGTTTATCTCCCTTCCTGCAACTGCCATCCATCACACCCCCTAGCTCCTGTAAATTCCTCATTGCCTCTGACTGCTGGTGCAACTGATCATTGCAATCCGATAGGATTCGCAGCGAAGCACAATTCCTGCAGCCATAATCGTCAGTAACGTGGAAATGCTCCCTAAACTCCCACATATGACAGGAAGAGTACATCACTCAACTAAAGGTCATCTTTGCACCTTAACAATCTACACAGCCAGATTTATTATAATTTGGAGTACTAAAGTGTAGGGAATCATAGAATCTCTAGACTATGGAAGTAGGCCATTCAGCCCACTGAGTCCACACTGACTCTCTGAAGAGCATCCCACCTAGACACACCCCCCAATCCAATCCTTTAACCCATTTCCCATGGCTAACCCACCTAGCCTGCACATCCCAGACAATATGGGCAACTTAGCATGGCCAATCCACCTAACCAGTACACCTTTGGACTATCGGAAGAAACAAGAGCACCCAGAGGAAGCCCACACAGACACGGGGAGAACGTGCAAACTCCACACGGACAGTCGCCCAAGGGTAGAATTGAACCCAGGTCCCTGGTGCTGTGATGCAGCAGTGCTAACCACTGAGCCACCATGCCAACCCCTCAGAAAGAACTGAGGAAGATATCATTGTACCATTTGAAACATGAGGAAAAAGAGCTATAATGAGAGGTGATGGTAATGGAATTAGTTTTGCAATGCTGGGAAAAGTGGGGCCAAATAACCTCTTGTCCTGTAAATATCTGTGATGCAAGTAGGGTTTAACACTGTGCTTGAGCAGCATTGTAGATTGGTCCTGGCTTTCACGCAATCTTTTTAATTCATTCCTCACATTTAGCTGCTGCTGGCAAGATAAACATCCTTTGTCCATCCATATTTCCTTTGAACAGGGGCTAGTGAGACTTCAAACAAAGCCACCGTTCTCTGCTTCATGAAATAATCTCTCAGTAGTGTTGGGGACAGAGTTCTAGTGATGGAGATATGGCAATCTAAGTCAGTATGTTCACTCCAACTCATTGCCTTTCTTGTGATATTATTCTTGAGTTGATGTTTGATTTGACACTTTGATGGGCGCACGCTGTGTATGACCAAGCACAACGAATAGTAACAAATAAAACATAGAAATTGCTGGAGAAACTCAGCAGGTCTGGCAGCATCTTTGGAGAGAAAACAGAGTTAACATATTCTGTCCAGTGACCCTTCTCCAGAACTGCTAGCTGCTAAGTAAATTTGGCGTGGGGTGGTGGGGTGAGGAGAGAGCAGATAAGTAGAGATGGACCCCAGAGAGAAATAAAAGGTTAGGTCAACAAAGGGATTGTTATTGGTAAACTGGGAAAGATAAGAGGCTAGTTAGGTGATATGAGTAGTTGAAAATGGGTGTTTAAAGCTTTTGAGAAGATTTGTAGCTCGGGTTGTGAATGAGGTTGTAGACATGCTCGCCGAGCCGGTGGGTTTGGTTGCAAATGTTTCATCACCCTGCTAGGTAACATCTTCAGTGCACCTGAACACCTTTAAACATCTATGGGCGTGACATTCTCAAACTGGCTCGCAGATGGGATACAATTGCAAAAGTGGACTGATGATGTTACCTAGCAGGTTGACAAACCATTTGCAACCAAACCCACCGGCTAGGTGAGCATGTCTACAACCTGAAAATGGGTTGGTTGGCCTGAAAGCAATACATTTAAACAGGACCCACAGTACGGCATTAGGTAATAGACATTGAAGGCGGAAATGACTATTACGAGGGGGCGTAATTTTAAGGTGTTTGGAGGAAGGTATAGGGGAGATGTCAGAGGTAGGTTCTTCACACAGAGAGTGGTGGGCGTGTGGAATGCGCTGCCGGCAGTGGTAGTGGAATCAGATACTTTAGAGACTTTTGAGCGACTCTTGGAAAGGCACATGGAGGATAGTAAAATGTAGGGTGCGCAGGGTAGATC